AATAGGCATTTTCAAAATGATATAATGATCTGTGGAGTATTTTGAGCTGAAACTTCACAGACACGTTCTGGGGACACCAGAGACTTATATTACATATTGTAAAAAGGGGCATAATATGTCTCCTTTAAACTAGGAGGACAAGCGCTCCTAATTACAAGAAAACACTGCTCTTAAACTGGGTGTGTGACAGGTGTGGCTGTGGAATGGGGTTTGGCTGAGGAAAAATTCAGTCAAAAGTTTTTTTTTGCTTTAACCCCTGTTAGTGTCACATGATCCCTCAAGAAGTCATTGTAATATGCTAATTTGGTGCTCAAGATACATTTGTTGTTGAAAACAGTCGTCTTTGTGAATACATTCTTTTAGGGTTTTTAATGAACATAAAGTCCAATAGAACAGCTTTTATTTGAAATGTATGTTTTAAAACAAATCTTTACTGTCACTTTTGATCAGTTTAATGTGTCCTTGCTTAAAAGTAGTAATTACTTTTTTGTTTTTTAAAAAGCATTACTGTCTCAACTTTTGAATGGTAGTATGTAGAAAATGTTTTCGCATGTGCTTCTGTGACGTTAGTCTACTTTTCAAGTTGACTATGTAAGCTTTAGGTCAATACAAGTTGTTTTAGTTTTACTTTTTTTTTTTAATCTTTTGTAATATAGATTTTATTGCATATTGTTCATTATATAATATTTTAGTTTTCAGAAGAAAAGTAAATGTTATTGCTGTGCATTTATCAGAACCTGCTTTGTTTTTGCTTTCTTGCATATTGTTCATTATATAATATTTTAGTTTTCAGAAGAAAAGTAAAGGTTATTGCTGTGCATTTATCAGAACCTGCTTTGTTTTTGCTTTCTAGGCGGTTTATATGATGCCTACTGAGGGAGATGATTCCTCTAAAAGCGTTCCCCTCGCCCTGCAGAGGGTGTTCTATGAGCTCCAACACAGCGATAAGCCTGTTGGGACAAAGAAGCTGACTAAGTCTTTTGGGTAGGTTTTGTTTTGAATGTTCAGTTTACAAACAATATGAATCAGGCACTGACACATGACACGTCTGCCAGTTGACATTCTTGTGTGAGATGTGAAGTGTGAGTTTCATGTTGTTCCTTGTCATTAAATGTTTTGTGCTCAGTTGTTGGTGTTCTGTTTAATTTTTCTGAAGTTTCTAATTATTCTAGTCATGATTAATAAAGGCTTTTTAGATTTTTGGCTTGACCTTGAGTGCCTAGGCCATGAACATTTAAGTTAGCATATTCATTGTATTTCTTGTAAAATCCAAAATTAAACAAACTACAGGTTTTTTTTTCTCTCTTTCTCTTCTTGGTTTCAGTTCTTACTGGTGGAAATCTATAGAAAGTTTCTCTGTTTAATAAGACCCTCTAAAACATTTGTAAGCAATTAATAGTTTAATTAAGGGGCATTTGGCCTAAATGTTATGCTGGCAGATCAGAGACTTGAGTTTGTTTTTGGGTGCTAATGCCATTGTATAAATATTCATAGTCAGTCATGTGACTGTTTACCCTTTTTTTAATATTTTGAAATATGTGTCTGTTTCCGCAGATGGGAGACTCTAGACAGTTTCATGCAGCATGATGTACAGGAACTGTGCCGAGTGGTGAGTAGCCTGATCTCCATGGATCCCCTTGGATCCTTCTCTTTTAACTCATTGATCAATTGAGGGAATTAGTCATGCCAGATTAGATGAACGTGATTTGGGTCCAACCATTGTGTGATTTTCCATTTTTAGCTGTTGGACAATGTGGAGAACAAGATGAAAGGAACTTGTGTGGAGGGCACAATCCCAAAGCTCTTCCGAGGGAAGATGGTGGTAAGTCACCGGGACTCTCTCTGTGGTTTCGCTCTATATCTGATTCATTTATTCAGCCTCACCACATTTGGGTGTTTTCTCCATTTCAGTCCTACATCCAGTGTAAGCATGTGGACTATCGGTCAGAAAGAATAGAGGATTACTACGACATCCAACTCAGCATAAAAGGAAAGAAAAACAGTAAGTGTGGCTTTCTCTGGTCTTCTGTCTTGCTGTCCTCCCTTCTGTTCCAGGAAGGCCTTTATTCTAGTGTGGTCTGGAAATGAATACATTTTCCGACATCTCGTAACTGAGTTCCAGGACAAAATCAACACATTCCGATACCATTTCATAATGTTGTGTAGGACTGCACACAGTATCTGCTGTACTTGTGTTGAGGTTACTAATGCACCTTCTCTGCCCTGCAGTCTTTGAGTCATTCAAGGATTATGTGGCAGTGGAACAGCTGGATGGGGATAACAAATATGATGCAGGGGAGCATGGTCTACAGGTGAGGGGTTTGCATACATCACCCTCCAATACTAACCAACCCTAAAAGTGCAGTCACATTTACCTTAGTCATCTCAAAAGATGCTGGAATTTCATGTGAGGGACACAAGGTGAAAATGTGCATTGCACGTGGGATTCAAGTTTGTTGAACTTTTAACATTCAAATATGCAGCGTTTACCAATATAAAGCAGCTATTAAAAGTGATATCTAAGTGGTGCATTGATAACCTATTGACAATGGACAACAGACCAACTTAACAAAAATTAGCTGAAGTCTTGCTGATGTGACTGCGCCTTAACGCTATACAATAATTTATATAATCTTGTTGTGCCTGATACATATTTTAATTCACTGTACTGGAGTTTTGACTTTATTTCTGGTTCATTTGTCTTTTAGGAAGCAGAGAAGGGTGTAAAGTTCCTGACCTTCCCTCCTATTCTGCACCTACAGCTCATGAGGTTCATGTACGACCCTCAGACTGACCAAAATATTAAGATAAATGACAGGTAAATAAGTCTTTTTTTTCCCCCCAATGTGTGTTGTAGGTGTAAACATTTTCTAATCTGGGTGTAATATCTGCTGTTTTACATCACAAATGAGTTTGTGATGTAATGAGTCACACTGATATTTCTTTTGAAGTAAATTCTGTGATGGCTGAAACAAGCATTGTGATTTATGGGTGGTCTGAATAAATATGTGCCATGCAGAGAGGGAGATTACGCTCTTAAAATATCTTTGAGAGTGACTCATCTAAATGTTGTTTGTCGACTGAACACTTACTTGAATATGGACTGGAGGGTGCATTTTAAGATACGCTCTCTCCTATAATCTTTCTGGCAAAATCTCTTGCTCACTTTCACTCATATGATGTTAGAGAAATGGAGGCTGAGCCTGATACTTGATGTTGTGCCCCACAGGTTTGAATTCCCAGAGCAGTTACCTCTGGATGAGTTTCTGCAGAAGCCAGATGTTAAAGACCCAGCCAACTACATTCTCCACGCTGTGTTGGTGCACAGCGGAGACAACCACGGGGGCCACTACGTCGTCTACCTTAATCCTAAAGGAGACGGCAAAGTGAGTGTCACCGCACCAATAGTGAGAACCTTTCATTTCAGGGGTCTCTAGTTTTATTTGTTGGTGGTTAACGGGGTTGGCTTTGTGGGTGGCTTGTGGTTGCATGGAATGTTTTGTCAATATTGTTCAAGTAAAACCTTAAAACATTGGAGGGCTCCAGACTGAGACTGAATTTTGGTGTTTTCTGCATATTAAGCGTAAATGTATCAAGCAGTGACTGTTTTCCTTGAAAATTATAAGGAATGTTTCCTAAGCACTAAATCAGCGTATCAGAATGATCATGTGACCGTGAATACTGGAGTAATGGCTGCTTTGCCATCACAGGAATAAATTACATTTTAAAATATATTCAAATAGAAAACAGTAAATTATAATGATACCAATCACCATATTACTTTTTTAACTGCTTTTTTGATCCAATAAATGCAGACTTGGGGAGCATAAGAGACTTCTTTAAAAGACATTAAAGCTTTTTTTTGTTCAGTTTTGTTCACCTGTCAGTCCAAATCTGATTTTTGTTCATATTTGTTTGGAATTCAATCATATTTAGATTTTTACTAGTATGTTTCAAGCTATATTCATATCGTTTGAAATCCTGTTCTCATTGCTTCTTTGTAAATTTGTTTGTCTGACCGCTCCGATAAAATTTAGCTTTGTCGCTTTCTCACGCCACATAAAACGTAAACGCATCAGACGTTGTTTGTAGAAAACAACATTTTCGATATTAATCAATTCTCATTTTTACGGAACGATATCGATTCTTAAATCCCAAGAATCGATTAGTCTAGCCTGTTTTCAGTTAATGGACAGAACATTGAAGGCCACTTCCCATCCAATAAATCGCAATAAGCATTGTGCTTTGGTACTTTTAATATGAAACAAAGTCTCAGATTTCAAATTATGTTCATTGTATTGCAGTATTCAAACAATAAATGCCATTTTGGCGCCGTTTAATGTGAAGTGACAGATCGCTGTAGCGTCTCAGATCAACAGACGCAGCAGCGCGAGGCGCACGTGAACTGATCATCTCCTCCACATTAATACCAGTTTCAGCACAAAAAAAACATGACAAAACACCCGAAGGTAAGTAAAAAGAAAGCGTACAACTTTAAAAGCCGTATCCTGTCTCATGTAATCGCTCAATCAGTGTTTCAGCTGCGCAATGACGCCAATATAACGGCTTGTAAGCAATGTCACGTAACGTCACATTTACCTCAGAAAAACATATATGGTGACCATAAACTCATTAGTCAGATAGAAAAATAAACTATAGAGAGGGGCATTTTGCTAAATATATGCACCATACAACATTCATTATAAATTTTATAATGTTTTTATGACAGCCACCATTATGTTTATATATATTTTTTTTTAATGAATGGAAGTGAATGAATGTAATTGTAACTTTATTATTTTAAAAACTTCATTAAGTGTAATTTTAACAAATCTGTAAATTTTAACCTTCAGTATTATAGTAATGTAGTACCAACTGACTCTCATGTATATTTTACAACATTAGTTGAGAGATTTTTTTTTCCTTGAGAAAATGTGACATGTACTGTACCTGATATAAGTGTACCGTAGTGATTAGGAATAAGACAAATACGCGGTTTGGAAGATGAATTCATGATGTACTCGCTCATTATATACATTTTGCTAATTTTGAACACAGAAAAAGTTACATAGTGCTGCTTTAATTCAGATTTCAGTAGAGGAAACGCAAATAACCGGATTTGGACAGACATTCGGAAGAAAGCTTTACCAGCCCCAAATTTTTGACTGGTAGCGTACTTACCAAATAAAAATGTTTCAAAAATATCCTTTAGCCTTTGTCATCTTGATGCTACATGGGCAGCGCTCAACTTGTGGCAACACTGCTTCAGCAGACTTAAAGTTTACTTGCAGAGTTCCAGCTTGTGTTCTATTATAAGAATTGTTCTGACAACTCTTGTTAGGCAAGCTTGAGTTAGGTTGTTTTAAATTCTCATTTGTTGGTGTTTATATTTAATGTCAGATTAGTTGCATTTATTTTCTGGTGTGTCCATGAAGAGTCTCAATTGACGTTTGTTTCTCCTTCAGGGTTTCCCACAGGACCAGATGAGACTGTGGCCAATGCAGGCCAGAAGCAACGGCACTAAACGGCCAGCTATGTTGGATTATGAAGCAGATTGCAACAAGTCTGTAAGTCTGTGCACTCATGTCTTTAAACATTCATATTTTTTTATGTCATTCTTGTTTCTTATGTTCCACTGTATCTGAGAATAAAGCCGTTCATTTCAATGTCACAAACAGATGATCGACTTGAGCGATAACGAGAACCCATGGACAATATTTCTGGAAACTGTAGATCCAGAAATGGCCGCCAGTGGTGCAACGTTACCCAAGTTCGACAAAGACCGTGAGTTTCAATGTGTGCATTTAGTATATTCAGAACCATTTTAGGCAATTGATATTTCGCGTTTCAATTGTTTATTCTTACTGAAGAGCAAAAACGGTCTACAAAACGTTTCCAGTTCTGATAGCATCAACCTTTTAACCTTGTTTGGATTTTCAGATGATGTTATGTTGTTCTTGAAGATGTATGATCCAAAAACCAGAAGCTTAAATTATTGTGGACATATCTACACACCTATATCCTGTAAAATACGTGAGTATTCAAAGCTGTCTAATAGGATTGTTCTCATGAAGTTTTTGTCAAGATCTAATTAAACTGATGTCGATCCTTTCTGATGCTTGCTTTGTTCTAACCCTGACCCAAACAGGAGGCTTGCTGCCCATTATGTGTGAAAGAGCAGGGTTTCAGCAGGGAACTAGCCTTATCCTCTATGAGGTAAGACTTGGTTTACACTGAATTGCCATTGATGCATTTATCATTTGTAATTTTGTATAGAAAGTGGTTAGTAGAGATGCATGATATGCATGTAATAAAATGGACAATTGGCCCATGTAATGTTATATTAAAAAAGAAATTAATAAAATAAAAACAGAACATTTTGAATAAATAAAATAAAACTGCTGCATGTTTGTCTGCTGCAAGTCAATTCAAGCATTAGAACACTGATGTTCTAATGCTTGAATTGACTTGCAGCAGACAAACTAGTTTTATTTTATTCAAAATGTTCTGTTTTTATTTTATTAATTTCTTTTTTATATACACTACTTTTCAGGAATGAATTATTAAAGGGATTAATTCTTTTATTTTAGCAAGGGCACATTAAATTGATCAAAATTGACTTGTAAATGTCTTCACTATTTCAAATAAATGCTGTTCTTTTATTCTTTCTATTCATCAAAGAGTCCACAAAAATATTAAGCATCACAACGGTTTTCAACATTTATAATAAAAACGTTTATTTACATTCTAAAAATGTACAAATGAAACTTTTGAGTGTTGGTTTATTTTTTGCATTCGTAATGGTTAGTGTAAATGTTAGCGTTATGTAGGAACATATCACTAAAACATGATGCATTCTGTGTTACAGGAAGTTAAACCGAATTTAACAGAGCGAATACAAGACTATGATGTCTCCCTGGACAAGGCTCTGGATGAGCTGATGGATGGAGACATAATTGTGTTCCAGAAGTAAGTATTCATTGTCTTAATTCCGAAGTCATTTTACACATCTTAACAGGGCTTTGAAATTGATTCTTCTTTTGTTGTATCGCCACCAGGGATGATCCTGAAAATGAAACCAGTGAGCTGCCTACTGCAAAAGACTACTTCAGAGACTTGTACCACCGTGTAGATGTCATCTTCTGTGACAAGACCATTCACAATGACCCAGGCTTTGTTGTGACACTGTCAAACCGAATGAACTACTTCCAGGTTCGTTTTTTAAAAGTAGATCAGAATGTGCCAGTAACATGAAAAAGAGCCTCTTAGAAAAATAATCTCATATTACATTTTTCAGGTGGCAAAGACTGTTGCGCAGAGATTAAATACTGACCCCATGCTCCTACAGTTCTTCAAGTCACAGGGGTACGTCTTTTGATTTTCAGTTTGGTGTGGCTTCTTACCCCCATGTTTTCATCCATAAACCTTCCTTTTTATTCTTCTTCCTCTCAGGTACAGAGACGGCCCTGGCAACCCACTCAGGCACAACTATGAAGGCACTCTCAGAGACCTGCTGCAGTTTTTCAAGCCCCGGCAGCCTAAGAAGCTCTACTACCAGCAGGTGAGAGAGGTCTTATCTTCCACTTGGCGCTCCTCTTGGGGAATATGAGATCTTCTAAGCCGTTACGTTCCGGGCATCTGATTTATTCATGGTTTTGCTTCCCCACAGCTCAAGATGAAGATCACAGACTTTGAGAACAGGAGGAGTTTCAAAGCCATTTGGCTCAACAGTATGTTTCGAGAGGAGGTAAGAAGTTGCTGCAATGATTCTACACTGAATATACAGTCATGCCAGCCAGCCCTTATCATTTGCAATAATGTGTGTTTCCACTATGTTCTGCACACTTGTCATTGTGAATATTTTCTCTCCCTCACGTTAGGAGATCACACTATACCCTGACAAGCATGGCTGTGTTCGGGACCTTCTGGAGGAATGTAAAAAGGCAGTGGAGCTGTCCGACAAAGGCTCAGAGAAGCTGAGGTCTGTGTTCTCAATTCAGTGCAATTTTCATTAATCAGGGATTTCTGTTTCAAGTCTGTATTAGAGATCGACCGATATGGGTTTTTCTATAACCGATGCCGATGTTTAGAGGTTAGGGTCAGCCGATGGCCGATATGTGCTGCCGATTTTTAGGGCCGATATCTTGAAGTTTTCCCCTTCATTTGCATGCTAAAATGTCACACTAATAATAAGTGGATGCACAACATTTCTAAACTCTGATGAACATGTCGCTGATGTACTCTCCAGTGTGGGAGCCAGACATGGCCTTGGCATTTAGGACGACTTGTTTTCTTTCCCAGTTGTCGTCAATGAAATGACATGTTAGACTCATCAGTGCTTCAGTGTCCCCAGACCAACAGTCTGTGGTGAAAGACAAAAAAGGGCCAGCATCCTCTGCAATCAGTGCTTTTATTTTCTTCTCAACTTTTGCAACTATACCATCTAGGATGTCTGTGCGGTAGTGCTTCTCAGTTTTTAGGTTGTATCTGGGCTCCATTGCAGCCACCAGCCTCCGAAAACCAATACCTGAGACAAATGTAAATGGCTGATTGTCTGTGGCAATCATTTCCGTAACTAAAGTGTCAAGTTTTTTTGACCTGGGATCCGAATTCTGCCATTTACGTTGGGCATCAAACATTTCTGTTAGAGTTGGCTGAGATACATTGGCTGTAGAGGCAGCTGCGTCTTCTTTTTCTTTCTGTGCATCTTTGTAAGCCTGGAGGTGGTGACACCTCAGGTGACTCCACAAATTTGTGGTGTTTTTCTTTTTACCTTTTTCAGCTCCCAAGCTCACCAGTCCATTGCAGATATTGCACCTGGCTTTCCCTGGAGTTGGCTCGGTGAAATGCTGCCATACTGGATTCGATTTTTGTTCAGCCATCAGACAGCAATTACTAAACAGAAGAAACATTCATGGTTAGCATTTTAGTAGTGCCTTCATCTTCAATTCAGTCAATTCAGTCAATATTCGATACACATTAAAACAATTACACTCTAATTGAAAAAAAGTGTAAAAGAACCAAAAGAACCAAATAATGTGTTGTTTTTGTTGTTAACAGATTGCTTACAAGTTACAAACCAAATTACCATAATCTAGTAATTACAAAAAAAAAAAAAAAAACAGTGCTAAACCCTTAGTGATTTCTGACATTCTTGACGGTTAACGTTAGACAGGTTTAATGAGGATAATAACTGTGCGACGTATATATTGGTCGGAACACGTCACTTTTATTAGGCTGATGTCCATTTTTATTCGCATTACACAGTTGATGGAAACACACGCAGAAGCGCATATTCTTCAGCTTTTTTTTCATTAATGCAATATGCAAATAAGTTGGATGGAAACCCGGCTATTGTCTGCATCAAACCATGCTTCCGAACAAATGTCATTCACCGTTCTGGGCTGCTCCAGGACAGCTCTGTGTCTCCGAGCACGGTGCTGTCTGTGAGCGGGGTGGAGTAACGTAGCCCTCAATCACGCTGCAGTGTTTGTGAGAGCTGCCACCTTCTCCACCCCACGCACAGAGTGAAATTCTCCGACTCCGATACAGGAAAAATAAAACAGAACTTATAACATTGGGGCTAATATGTTAGCAAGCAAGCTGCTGATAGTTTTCGACTACAGTCCTTAAAGTTAACTGCAAGTAAGCGAACCTTTAACCAGCTGTAGCATTATGCCAGTTCCCGACGGTTCTATGCTATTCGTTTTTTCTTTCACTAAGTGAAGCAACACTTCATAGTTTACTAGTAATATATAGTAAATATATGGCCATAGGACTTTGAAATATCAGAATTTAAGCCTTACCTTTATCTCCCAGGACTGTTGTTGAATCTTCCAAAAGTTTTGGCTTGGGGTCCTTCACATGCGGCAGCAGCACTTTCCACCGCACCAATAACACGGGGCTGCCCGCGGACGTGCCTGACTTTAAATCGGCGCTACTAAACACGGATATCGGCCGATGCCGATATATTAAAAAATGACAAATATCGGCCGACCGATATATCGGTCGACCTCTAGTCTATATTGTTATTCAGTGTCTGCTCTGAGAGGTCTTTAAGGGACTTTCCATGAGTGCAGTAAAAATGGGTTGTGTTTTTCTAGTTTTTGCCTTCAACAAATGGATCTTTATTAAATTATTACTTTGTTCTATTCGTTATGTGATGTTGAAATGATTTAAAACCCTGGTTTGTGTTAGAATTTTTGTAGTCATTTAAAAGATATGCGAGGTGTTTATTTATTTTTTTTTGTTTGTTTACAGTAGAACAGTATTGTGAAATATAATTACAATTTAAAATAAATGTTGTATTTTAATATATTTTTTTAATGTATTTTTTCCCCTGTGGTGGCAAAATCTTCATCACATCATCCCTCATAAATCATTTTAATATGCTGATTTGGTGTTAAAACATTTTAAATTCAGTGTTGAAAGCATTTTTTTTTTTTGCGCAAACTAATTCATTTGTTTTTATTCTTTGAATAGAAGGTTCAAAAGAATAGCATTTATTTTAAACTGTCACTTTTGAACAATTTGGTAACAAAAATCTTACTGACCCCAAACTTTTGAACGGTAGTGTGCATGTACCTAGTGGTGCATAAAACACTTCCCGTAAATCTTTTCAGCTTTTTTTCCCCCTTACTATAAAGTACAGAGGCATTGTAATTGTTCAATTTATAGTTAATCCAACATACCTAATGTTTTTAAAAAGATGTCTTGTTTTTATGACATGTTGCATGAGAAAGGATAACAGACTGGAGGTGATATATCAGCCAGTCGTGCATTAATAACTCATTGACGCTGCCGCTATCCATTATACGAGTCACTCTGACCATAGTTCTGATCCCTTTCACTGGTCACTGCTAATATTAACTGTCCTTTTTTTGCCCTCTCTGTAGGCTGTTAGAAATTGTCAGCTACAAAATTATTGGGGTTCACCAGGAAGATGAATTGCTAGAATGTTTATCTCCAGCAGCCAGTCGAACATTCAGAATAGAGGTAAGGAAGCGCTGATACACGCCAACCCTCAAAGCCCATCATTCACTGATGTGCACAACAAAGGGCCTGTTCCCTTGTAAAGCCTCTTAAAATGATTCAGCATCTGAGATGCCACTTTTATTTGTGGATGCTGTTCCCCTGGAAACAAGTTCCATTTCTTTCATGGCAGGAAATCCCTCTCGACCAGGTGGACCTGGACAAGGAGAATGAAATGCTGATTCCAGTTGCACATTTCCACAAGGAAGTCTTTGGGACATTCGGAATTCCCTTTTTGCTCAAGATCCGTCAGGTGTGTTAGCTGAGTGCATGTGTAGGCGGGCAGCTGCCGCTTTCTTTTGCCGTGTAGGTGGATGGCTGTTATTTGTTCAGTTTGTATGCGTCATGTGTCGTGTCCTTTTTAATGTGTGCATTTACTGTGGCAGGGGGAACCCTTCAGAGAAGTGATGAAGAGAATTCAGAGCATGCTTGACATTCAGGAGAAAGAGTTTGAGAAGGTAAGAAGCTTTGCAAGTGTGTCAAATGTAATTGCAATTAGTGTTTTTTTTATTTTTCTTCAACCTGGAAATATTTTGCACATTAACCCTTAAACGCACAACTCTGGTCACTGTTGTCCAAAGGTATGTTTATTTTATGTTTTACTGTGCAACAATATTGAATTTCTCATGCCATGTAATTCTTCTTGGCTCCACAATGTGGTATTGTCTTATAAACAATGATAGGGAAGCATCAATCATAAACTACCTTGGACTTAAAAGAATGAACAAGTAACATCCTTGAGACTTGACATGGCTTAACAATTTCCTGCTTAGCAAGTGCATAATCAAATATTAGTGTAGCTTGATGATGCATCCAAAATATTTTAATGATTGATTAAAATGATCGTTTTTGAGTTATGTAGGATGTCCTTTTCAGAAGTTGCATAGGATACACTCGTGTGATTTTTATATATATATACTTTTTTTTTTTTTTTTTTCTGAAATTTGTATGTGTTAAATTATATTGTTTATATCCATAAATACAGGATAAAATGACCTTACGAAAATACATTTATATTATGTCATTTAATGGAAATATTACAGTGCTTTGACTATTTAATGCCTGAATTATTAATGCATACCTTCCATGCTGATTATAAGAATATTATTATAATATATAATAATTAAAAAATAGTCATCTAATTAAATGTTTTGTTTTATTATTCTTATTTATTTATAAGTTGTTATTATTGAAAACTGAAACCAAAAATGCTTTGTAATTATTTATTATTTTATTAAATAAAACTTAATTTTGTAAGACTTTTTAATTTTACTCAATAATTTTAATGACACTGAATTTAAAAAAATAAGCCAATAAAATAACCACACTTTTATTGAAAGTAACACATAATTGGACAGAAAATTTTATATTAAATATCAATGTATTTTCATTCAGTTCTATGCAACAATCAAATACAACTGTTTTTATTTTTTTTACTAATTATCCAAATAATGTATAGTCCTACAAAGTTATTATCAGCACATGTGAGCAGGGCATGGTGGGGAGCAGATCAGTGAATGAGAGGGTAGCGTGTTACAGCACTGTAGCTCACTTGCAAACAGAAGCAAGTGTACTACATAGAAATTTCCTGTCGTCGCGTTATTTGAGCGTACGTTGCTTTTCTGTTGAGCATGAGCGGAACTCACATTTACAGAGCGGAATATTGAGCGGTGCACCATATATTTTCGGCCGTTTCTCTCTTTCAGCCATAGGCTTGGTCAACCAAAATTTTATTAGTCGTTTAGTCGCAGAAAAAAAAAAGATAATCCACATTGGCACGCAGATTGTTAACGGCTGGTCTATGTGGTAGGCTAATACAGTACATCGGGCAGGACATCCAAATGCTTGCCTATCATCGACCTCAAATATGGCTTATCATCTGAAATATGTATTAGCAACTTTACATGGCCGCTCAATCTGATGTTAACTTATAGTGCTATAGTGTGGAGCGTGAAGATTAGCACACTCACTGCATGACAGACGGAGGCGCCGGTGCACTCACTTGCTCTTAAAAATACTCCCTCATTTTTGCTCATACAGATAAGAGTTATACATTCAAATTTGTAAAGACTCTACGTTTATTTGTGTGCACACACAATAACATCAGAAAGCAAACAGGATGCGCTTTCTGCCGTCTCTGTGAACTTGAGCACGAAACTCCGTGTATATCTTTGCCTTACAGACATTAAAAATATATCTACAGAGAGTGAAATGTCTATTTTCAAATAAACTAATTCAAATGGAAGACTAATATTCTCAGATTATGTAATCCAAATGAAACATGCATGCGCATCACTACAGCAAAGATGACGAGTCAGTCTTACATTTGACTTCATCTCTTAAACTGAAAACAAAAAAAGCACTAGTTTATCAGTGAATTATTAAAATGTCAATGCAGCCTCCTTACTGTTTTTCCCTGACACATTCATAATCATTACTTCTGCTGGTGCGCTGTGGCAAGCTTTATGCATTTGCTTGAGCGCTTATTAGGCCATGTAGGCAATTAAAGGCTCATTATAATGATTTAAATGGTTTATTAATAAACGTGCGATTAGTCGACTAATGCTT